TGCAGGTGTGTTCATTAATAGGACTGCATGATGTAGAAGGAAAAAAGGCTGGACGCAAATGTAAGTAGTATGTTTTTTGTATCATTAAATCGACTAAGAGCCACTCCCGGTTGGTAATGTATGCGATACGCCTTCTGCCCCGACCCCACGCGATGACCATGGCTCATCTTTGGACCCGCAACCGTCCCACCCTGGTCAACGCTTCGTCCTCCGATGAGGCTTTATGTATTCTGGTTCGGTTTGTAGGACAGGAACCAGCGGTTTCATGACATGCGGAGTTGGATGCTTTATACCAGCCCAGCCCTTGTGTTCTTTTCCATCCCGAGTCATCTTTATGTAGTCTTGGATTGGATGATAGTGGGACTTGGGGGAGAGGGTGTGGCCAGTTCTGCGATAGCTTTCAAAGATTAAACCAGTAGATGAGTAATTCATATGCATAACCCACCTTAAATATTGATCCGTACCACCTCCAACAATCCCAGTCTTCTGGAGAGGGGCAGGCGGGCGATATACAGTCTGGCGAGTGACCCAGACTAATTCGGATTGCCTTTTTCAGTAGAAACGATAGGCCTTCGGGAAAGTCTACAGCCGTCTGCGTATCAATCAGCTCTATTCAAAATGTGTTGTTTGAAAGCTGGGATATTAAACTTCATGGAAAGGGGGCGCTCATTGATCTGACCTGATCGCACAATGGAATGTATTCCGTTATCCTGAAGCTCCAGACTTGCTAAGCACGGTAGCAGTTTCTTTTATACTGAAGCGTAAATACCATATCAAAAGTATTGAAAAGGGTAAAAAGTATTTGAAAAGAGTGACTTGACAGGATATTAGCGGCTTATTTTCCCTGTCAGTCAGTCATATTCCAACCCTAAAAGGGGAACACTGGAGATTTAAACTTTCTCGGAAAGATTATATGTTGTAGCTCCGAAGAAAACATCGGCCAGCAAGGGCTGTGTTTTCAACGGGTTTAGAAAATTCCCATGATCAAGCAGTGACTGTTGCTAAACTGAACATTTTCATCATAAAATCCATGTTCCCACATGAAGAAAGAACTGGCCTACTCGCTCTACAACAACTGTCCCTGTCCACCAGAACTTCGCCGAAATACTAGCCCTTCCATTCGTACGTCGACAATCCACGAACCACCTGAAGGATGCATACTACAAGAGCCTACAATCTCACTGTCTGTATATCTGACATGAACAAATGCATAGTTGTTGGAGACTTCGATACAGACCATGCCACTTGGGAACGACTGACTGTTCATAATTATCGCAGCAAACCTCTACGCAGCACCATTTCCTCGTCACGAACACCACCCCTCACCCCCTTAACAACGAGAACACAAAACCACAAGTTCGCATGGGAGA